TCCAGAACATTGACTTCAGCAGAACGCAAGTACAGTCAAATTGAGAAAGAAGGATTGGCATTTATTTTCGCAGTAAAAAAGTTTCACAAGATGCTGCATGGCAGAAAATTTACCTTAATCACTGATTATAAACCCCTATTATCAATTTTCGGATCTAAGAAAGGTATACCAGTTTATACCGCAAACCGCCTCCAACGATGGGCTACAATTCTATTGGGTTATGATTTCGTTATCAAATACAAATCTACCTCTGATTTTGGCCATGCTGATGCATTATCGCTCTTAATAAGCAATCATAAGTTTGAAAACGAATATACTGTTATCGCTTCTATATCAGTGGAAGAAGATGTAAGCAGAATGTTGTTTAATTCAACACAAATTCTTCCAGTGACAGCTGCTCGAATCGCTGAACACACTCGCCGCGATCCTATCTTAAGACGATTATCTACATTTATCCAGCGTGGTTGGCCCCCACGTATAACATCTCATGAACTGAAACAGTATTATCAACGACGCCAATCTTTATCCACCGTAAATGACTGTATTATGGTTGCTGATCGCGTAGTGGTTCCGTATAACTTACGCTCAATCGTCCTGAAACAACTGCATACAGCCCATCCAGGTACTGAAAGAATGAAAGCTATTGCTCGAAGTTATGTATACTGGCCTATTATCGATGATCACATCGAAGGTTTCGTGCGTGCGTGCAGAAAATGTGCTGAGGTTTCTAAGTGTCCACGAAAAGCTGAACTACATTCCTGGCCATCTCCAGAAGAACCTTGGTCGCGCATACATGTTGATTTTGCTGGCCCATTCCAGAGTACGTACTTCCTCGTTTGTGTTGATGCTTATTCAAAATGGCCGGAGATTTCTCCTATAAATCAAATCACTTCGCAACAGACTATCATGAAGCTACGGCAGTTATTCTCCCGTTTTGGAGTTCCAGATGTTCTCGTGACAGATAACGGCACTCAGTTTATTTCTTCCATCTTCTCAGATTTCTGCAAGAGGTTTGGAGTCAAACATGTCCGTTCACCTCCGTACCATCCACAATCGAATGGTCAGGCCGAAAGGTTTGTAGATACCTTCAAAAGAGCGCTACTGAAGGCAAAAGGGGAGGGAAAGATAGAGGAGATTCTTGATGACTTTCTCTTGGTCTATAGAACAACTCCAAACCCATAAACACCAAATCAAATGTCCCCAGCAGAAATTATGTTTGGTAGAAAAGTAAGAACTGCTCTCGATGCCATAAAACCACAGCAAATAGACATCGGAAAAAGAAATAGAAAGATGGAAAGCCAATTTGATCGCCATCATGGGGCGAAACGCAGAATTTTCCAAAAAAATCAAAAAGTATACGTCCGTGATTTCCGATATTCGCCTTCACAATGGACCAGTGGACGCATACTTAAGAAACAAAGGAACGTAATGTATGTGGTGGAAGTTGAAGGACAGAACCGGACACGCCATGTCAACCACATACTGGAAAATGCTGGCACTTCACAGAAAACCGAGAAATTAGATTCAATGTGGAGAATCATTCTGGACAGTTTCGATATAAAATGCTCAGCAACTCAGAAGACTGCGCAACATGAACAAAGTTCTACTAGGAAAGCATCACGGAAACGCAGAAGACCAGATATTCTACAGATAGACCCAAAGAGGAGAACATACGTTTCCGAAGGAAGATATCAATGATGATATCTCAGCACTTACCTGTATATAGTAACTAACTATATTTTTTTCTTTTTTTTTAAGGGGGAAGGTGTTGTGAACGGGGAATTAAGAAGCCCAGACAATCACGAAAGCTATTTTCTTGGGACGTTATTGCATTTCATTCAAACCCTGTAAAACACTTATATTGATTTTTGTCCCTATCTTATTCTACATAACACGAGCTTTCGTTCTATGTATCATTCACTAGCATACTCTTTTTTGTTCCGAAAATATTGTAATTTAAACATAATATTTTGCACTGTATGTTCTACCCTAACTGTATTTTTCCAAATTATTGTACGTCGTAGTCAAGATATTCACTTATTTATTCATGTACATTTTTGTACTAATCTGAATTCAGAGAATCCAGAGTTCAGTGTTCCAACTGTCTTGTCTTCTCTCACTTGCGTGCTTGCCAACCAATCAGGTTCTAGAATAGTTATCCCTCTACCCCATCTCGAACTCACGCGTGATAGACTCAAGGTTAAGCCGCTCACCCTATCGCGTCAAGGTCATAGTTTAGTCTAGACAGATCAAGGTGAAGTCATAACAAGTATCACGGGGTAAAAGCGATTCAAAGTCATAACGATAACCTTACATTCTCTACGAGTGTTGTGATCGAATTTATTTCAGTCGGTGGTTTTATATGAAAGAAAGTTACGAAATAATGACCTACACATATTTGTGAAGTCGTTTACTATTTTTCAAAATATTTGGATCAATTGTATTCGCCTGTTTTTGCTCCAAATAAATCTGAAGTTGTTTACTATTGTTTCAATGTATAAATCAATATCATGCTTATTTATTTGTTTGAATATTGTGTTTCACGATTACATCAAACACGTTTGACTCAAAGGACACTCGACATAACAAGATATCAATGATAGACCAATAAAGCGGACGCTAACGATAGACTGGGAGAGGAATTTATACAAATTATACAGTTAGTAACGTATTGAAGCTTGTTATGAGTTATTGTGTGCATGAAATAATAGGGCCTTCATATATCTTTTAAGTGTTTTTAAGTATCTTTGGAATTTTTCTTGAAACTCTTAGCGAATAAATGTGCAAAATATTTAAAATATATTTTCTGTAAACAAGCGGGTAAAAAACATAATTGATAAGTCTAATATTGTAGTGGAGAACAAATAAGGTAGGGAAAAACATGTGAGATAATGAGGTTTATTTAGCACCATGAAGATGTGAACTGAAATCAAATACCTGTTCCATTCTCCACATTTTCACTAACTGTTCAACCTTTCATCTCATCCTTCACATTGATCAATCATTCACAAACCACTCAATTGCTATGGGGAATAATTTCATGATTTGTAACACAGGTTATGTATGGATTATCAGAATGAATGAATAGGAGAGAAATTTGTAGTTCGGATGCAATGATGGATGTGAGTACGGTAGAGAATGATCGGTTGAAGTTTCCGATTGAGGTGAGATGAAAGATAAGGCCATTGATAAATAGTAGCAGCTGTTCATTGAAAGAGAAATAAAGAGAGGAAATCAGTCTCGTTATCCAACTGTTCATTCATTCATTCATCTATCCATTCTTTCATTCGCTTATTCGTTCATTCAGGCAACCAGTCATTCAACCCTTACAATTGAACTTGTTTTGCTTATTAATATTATTATTATCATGACTATCATTACTTTTGCTCATTTCTGTTAAAAGTTCTATGCAGCTTGTTCACATCATATATTTACAAAATCTACTGGCGGTCGTCACAAACTCGAGGTTATGTATTCAGTCGTGGTATGTGATGGATCGACGATCTGACAGGTTCATATTGATACTATTGTTTTAAGCCAAAGTTCCTTTAACAGACAAGGTTTTGAGTATCCCACTCGCGGCATTTCTTCACATATTCGTGTTTCATTTTCCTACCTGCCATTGTTTTATTATCTCTAAATCAAACATAGAGGACACGCTCAATTCATCTGACATAATTTGTGGATGGAAGATAAAGGGTGTAAGATTAAGATAACAAGCTAGTAAATTACGTGACATTTGCAGACTATACCTGAATATTGATTGAATTGTGGTCATCATTTAGTGTACAAGCAAGATCAAACACTGGATGAGTTTGTGGTTCCCCACTAGTCTTCGGAAATTAAAATGACACGTTTTTGTTTAACAAATTGTTCGAATCAACATATTTATGAATGTCCACATCTGAGCTTGTCAATCACATTCATGGAAAAGCAATGATAATGACTACAAGTTATTAATTTGTTCACTGGAGTATATCTACACTGCAAATACTAATGTACTGTCATATGCAAGTAAACGACTTGATGTAACTTATTTATCAAGTGTAGATTGGTATACGTTATGTCTGCATCGCCAATTACTTATATGGCGAAAATGAGGAGCCAATTCAATTTCTACGACACCAAATAACAACACACAACACTGATACAAGTGAAGATTTATTCACCCGAAAAACACAACGATGACTCTAGTCGAAAATACACTCAATTATATACTGATTTGTACACCCATCTGATTAGTAATTAGGGAAAAGTCACATGTATGGAAACTGTTCAGAATCATAAGAAATCACATGCTGCATATCATGCTGAACATATATTACATGCGAATGAAGAATAAATGAATGGTGACTACTGGGAATTATATATGAGTTATCATTACATATATTCTTACTGGACAATTGTTAAGTGTCTAGGACATATATATATAATTAAATGTTTGAAAAGATGGTTAAGTAATTAATTGAAATATTGTTTGAAAGTACATACCAAAAACTAAACACATAGACAACAGAAATGAATAATGTACAAATCACTATGATGAATAGCGAATAGAAATTCTTTTATTCGATCCATCAATGATACAAACTTATCTGCATATGGATGTAATTTTCTGTGCATTTGTGAATATTATACACGTTTGACTGTGCATATAACAATGTTGAACTGGAGACTACATCAGTGCTATCTTTCTTGATTACTTCTATACTTAAATTAAAGTATCATTCAATTTAAAAATAGTTTTGTCTCATATTGTAAAGAACTAGGTTATACAATATTTAAGGGTAAGAAAAACAGGCAATTGAATCTTTAAAAAACTTATTTTAATGCAATCAAAAAATGTGTGTAGTGTTGCTTCTCAAAATAGGTTGAAATTTTATATTTTACAGAATTCAATCCGTCAGTGAACATACGACTGGCAGCATTTCTTACTGAATCACGTACTAAACGTTTATTCACTCGAACCTGTTTAGGGTGAGGTTGAGCCAGATATCTACCTATTGAATTTTCAATGTGTTTATACATAATATTTGATGCTTTCAGTCGCCTCTCCAAATCATCATCCTCTCCACCCCAACCCCAATAACTATTCGAATAACCATTGACCTGTATAAAGTGTGAAGTCGATATTTTCAAAACACCACCGATCAATGATTTGTAAGGTAAAACATAATTCCATGAACTCACTCCAACACTCAAATGAACCACACTCTCCATCGTCTCTTCATCACAACCATGTGGTATTCTATCATCCAATGGTATTAAGTCGGCATCATGAAATATAACACAGTCGAAATCGAAACGCTTACGTGCTTCAATAAAACCAATGTTCATCAACTGAGCTTTGTTCAAAATACCAGTGCCCTGTTGTTCAATAACAAATATTTGATAACACAAATGTTGTCTCTGGAGAACTGGAATCAGAGCGGACAGTGTAATATTCAGTTGTATCCATCTATCTCTACAAACAATGATGATTGCTGCACCGGATTGTGGAACGCTGCTGCAATTCGTCGTCTCCTCCTTAAACATCCAACCGCCACCAAGATCATGTGAATAAAATGTGTCGTTGATTGGGTTCACTTCTTTATTGAATTCACCATTGAATGGCATTTTTCCAATTGGTTTCAATGCACTCACTTTACTCGATGGAATGCTGTCAATATTCTTACAAATAGTACGACATGTTCGTTTGCAGTCAATATGTGCCATATTGGGTACAATAATTGCTTCTTCAGTGTGATTTCGTAACGTAACATATTTGACAGTTGTACGCATAAAATATATTTGTAATATGAAAATTATACAAAGTGTTAATCCAAATGCTTTCAGAATTGCATAATAAATTCTGAGTGATGATTTCATCTTGGAAAACATTTGATTATACATTCCTTTTGTTTATAAAACACAATGGTAACAACGATAGCAATGACAAAAATGAACGTTAAAGAATCGGGTGCTTATTATTTAATTGACATTCTAATTGAGACATTGAACCAATTGATTTTGAGTATTATATTGACCAATTGAATTTTGACTTTTGTTTTCAATGGTTAATTGAAGTTTAAGATTATTTCTCTATCACAGAATAACATTGCAGCGAAGACCATTAAAAGTTTGAATTCAGTAAAGCGTCATTTTAACATAGATCTATACTGTCGTCTGTTCTGAACTGCCACTTCTCAACTCATTCACCAGGTGCTTGTGTGTGAGCCACCATGTAAGCGCAATGTCCAACCATAATCCTCATTCGTTTCAACAAAGTATTTAAAGAGGACTTTGAACATGCGGTTTAGTAGCTGGAAGTCGAACGCTACGATCACTAAAATACCACTCCACAAGGGATTCAAACTCCATACTTATAACTTATTTATTCTGAGATTAACCTAAGTTGTTTCTTTGAATGGGTCTGACAGAAACTTTTGTTGGCTCAACTATCAGATGAAAAATATTGAACAGAGTGTTTTGTTCCTTGAGCTGTATTGTTTGGTCATGGAGCCTTCATCGTTCTGCTGAACGACATCATCAGCACAACCTCTGTCACCCTCGACGATTTAGCTGACATGGCTGATATGATGATGGAAATATATCCCGATAGTCGCGGAATCAACGCGGTACAAACCTCTAGTAAAAATGCTTTAAACCCCCACTGGATGTTCAGCAGCAAATAGCACACTTAACTCAGCAAGTAGCATCGTTGCAGGCGACCATTGCTACGATCCACTCTCGTCCTGCCAGACCGATCTCGAGAACACGATCAGGGTCTAGACCTCGCCCTAGGTCACCCAAACGGGCAGCTGACATTTGTTGGTATCACGCGAATTATAGAGAGAAAGCACGTCGTTGCATAAAACCGTGCAACTTCACGACAAACAAGCCAGACCATCAGGGAAACGAGCAGGCCAGACAGTAATGGCGGCGTCTGTTACTGGCCAACAAGTTAGACACCTCTTTCACATCAGGGATCGCATTTCTGGCTCGAACTTTTTAGTCGATACAGGAGCAGAAATCAGCATTATCACACTTCACCTTTCCCGAAGGCAACAAACAACAAGCACTAAGCTGTCACTCATAGCAGCTAACGAATCAATCATCAAAACTTACGGAGAGCAATCTCTTATATCAGACCTCGGACTCAGAAGACGATTCACATGGGTTTTCATAGTTGCCCAAGTCAACAAACCCATCCTCGGAGCTGATTTCCTCAGTGCCTACAATTTGTTAGTAGATATGACTAAAAAGAGATTGATCGATGCAAATACACGTTTACAGGTAGATGGTACATTTTCCAACGACTATGAAATCCACGGTGTACGAATAATGAAGCCTGCGAACAACGTTTTCAACGACATCCTGTCAGAATACGAGTGCATCACAAAATCAGATTATCAAAAGGAATGTAACCCACATCAGGTACAACACCACATCATTACCACCGGTCCCCCTATTAGCGCCAGGGCGAGGAGACTACCGCCAAGCAAGTTGCAAGTAGCTAAAAGAGAATTTGAGCATATGATGCAACTTGGTATTATCAGGCCATCCAACAGCCCTTGGGCTTCACCACTACACATGGTACCGAAAAAAGATCAAGACTGGCGTCCGTGTGGTGACTATCGCCGACTGAACAATCAAATCATCCCCGATAAGTACCCGATTCCACATATACACGATTTTTCATTAAACCTACACGGTAAATGCATTTTTTCGAAGCTCGACCAAGTGCGAGCATATGACCGAATTCCGATGGCACCAGAAGACATTGAAAAAACAGCCATGATAACACTTTTGGTTTGTTTGAGTTTCTAAGGATGCCATTTGGACTGAAAATGACTGATCACAAAACTTTATTTAAAACAATTAGTCCCTTTGATAAATTTCGGTAATGATATTAGAAGACGAAGATTATCAGAACTATGTGATATATTAGCGCAATACATTTCGAACAATCTGGTCACACATATACTTATTAAGAGCATTTATATATAAAAATAAAAGGACAACTATACAGAAAACGGGGTAAGAGGATATAAGGATAATGATAAGAGTAATAATAATAATAATAATAATAATAATAATAATAATAATAATAATAATAATAATAATGTGAACACAAAGCGAAACCTAATCACTTCGGATAATAAGTCAATATTACCAGGGTAGGTTTAAGGTAAGAACAACACTTCGTACGATCGACACTCACCTCGCGAAGCAAGACAACTGGATTACATTTCCCAATTTACAACAGATATCCAATATGTCAAAGGACATACCAATGTCGTAGCAGACGCTTTATTACGAAAGCATGTAAATACTCTGGTACGTAATCAAGATATCGATTTGGAAACAATCGCAAAATTGCAAGTAGAGGACGCAGAAATAAAAAGCTGTCAGGAGAAGTCTAACTTGATATTCAAACACGTACCTATACCTCTCTCTAACACATCTATCATTTGCGACGTTTCAACGGGTAACAACCGCCCTTTCGTCCCTCTAGCCTGTCGTCGACAAGTATTTCGTCAACTGCATGACCTTTCTCACCCAGGAATCAGAGCCACAACCAAATTGATTACTGAGCGTTTTGCGTGGCCAAAGATCAATTCAAATATAAAACGATGGACGCGAAGCTGTCTACAATGTCAACGCAGCAAGATTCAGAAGCACACGATCAGTCCAGTTGGCAAGTATCCCCTGCCGGAAAAACGTTTTCAACATATACATTTAGACATAGTTGGTCCATTGCCATCATCTAATTCATTCACACACATCCTCACTGCAGTGGACAGATTCGCCAGATGGGCGATAGCATGCTCTATTGCTGATACTTCTGCAGAAAACAGTAGCCGGCGTATTCCTTGACCGTTGGATAGCAAATTACGGAGTACCTTCCATCGTCACTACCGACCGTGGTCCCCAGTTTCAGTCGATCTAATTTCAGGAATTCACAAGACTTCTGGGTGTAAATCACATTAAAACGACAGCCTACCACCCAGCAGCTAACGGCTTGGTCGAAAGATTTCACCGCCAATTGAAAAGATCGCCGATGGCACAAGATGATACGACGAAATGGAGTGACGCATTACCACTTGTAGTCCTTGGCATCCGTTCAACTATAAAGGAAGATATAGGTTGTACAGCCGCTGAGCTAGTTTATGGTACAACCCTTACATTACCAGGTCAACTAGTGGACCCAAACCCTTTAACACCAACGGACCCAAGTCGTTTTGCTAGCCAACTGCTGCAGACCATGCAACAGATCAAAGCCATACCGCCTCGTGAACATAACAATCGAATACAACTCGACAGAAATCTAGAAACATGCAAGTTTGTCCTCGTTCGAGTTGATGCTGTTGAAAAGCCATTGGAACAACCTTATGAAAGACCATATCAAGTAATTAAAAGAACAAACAAACACTTCATAATCAACAAGTGTGGAAAGAAAGAGACTATCGCTATCGATAGAATAAAGCCTGCTTTCTACGAAGCACAGCAGGACAAAGAACATACTGCTTCACTGAACCAACCACTTCCAGCAACCACCACTAGAGCAGACATGGAGGAAAAACCAAGTATCAAACCTACTTGCTTAATGCGCTCAGGCAGAGCTGTAAAAAAAACCCAAACGCTATGTACATTTCGCCGAATAAAAAAATCTAAACAAACAATTATCGATGTACTACACCATTATATTCACCCGATTTTTCTCAACAAAATCTATGATTTTTTCCCCTTTTTTACAGTGTACATAATTAATCTCTTTTTTTCACAATTATTCGTTTTGTCACATTTTTTAAAAAAAATTTGTTACCACAATAAACGAGTAAACTCTATTTAAATCATTCATTTATTGTACACACAAAAAAATAAGCAGTTCAATTTTTTTGGGGGTTTAGTAACAGTTCTGCACATTATTATCATTGTTAGCAAACCAAGATTTTAAATGACGGTATTCTCATTACTTTTGTTTGTCATACGATGCCACATCACCGCTATTTTCACGCAATAACACACTGTATATTATTAATGTACATGTCATATGCATCTCCACATTTTTTTATTGGTTATTATTGTAAATATTATCTTCACATACCTGTATATAAAATATTCTT